GGAATGTCATGAGTGGTGAAAAAAGCCCTAAAAACGGCAGATTCGAAAAGCTAGACTTGCTTATTTGCCAGAAACGGACTTCGAAAATGTGGTCAAATCCCGTGACTCTGGGAACTCTTTTCTCTATTTCACCTTTTTCCAGCGTTGGCCGAACTCATCGACAAGTAGTCATGTATGGATGAAGCCACACCTAATCAACATAGGAGTTCATGGTAACTACTTGCAAAATTACTCACAAGATCGTGCTCCAACAACAAGGGAGTATGGGTCGTCGTCGATCCACCGCTGGCTGGAGTTCGCTGATCGGATCCCACAACCTCCGGAGCATCTCTACAATGAGGTGGAGGATGGAACGTGCACGTTGTGCGGAGGTAGTCAGCAAGCAGGAGCGAATCAGATAGATGAGTTGACAAATGCGCCCTAAATTTGACCAGATTAGTAGGCTATTTTCAACCTCATCTTTCACAATTCTCATTGAAGTTCCCCTCAATCCAAATATTACTCTCTTATACCATTATTTTGTCCACAAAAAATTGATTGTTCAAAAACTTACTTGTGGTACAATTCCGTGCCACTGCACTCTCCACACTTAGTGCATTTGTACTTGATGTGATGCACCTCTTGGAAGTGCACATCCATTTCATCTGGTGAAGAAAACGCATCAATCTTGCATTCTTCGCAAGTATAAGGGAAGTTTCTGAAAAGAAAAACAAATAACGAATCAAAGAGAATAGTGAAATGAAGCAACCCTTCCTTCAGTTGCACAACACAACAACGAGTTCGTATGAATAGCCACAACAGCCATGTCCGTTACTCCTCACTAGCAATTCAAGAAAAAATATGGGAAAGCAGGCAGGCATAAATTAATCGTGATGCAACTATTTCGATAGATGATTTCTTCCGTGGGAAAGACGCTTCACTTATTTTTAGAAAACAGCAACTCACTTCAGAAATGAGGGAACAAATTGAATCACAACGCGAGCGTCTCTCGAGGGCACGTCCATTAGCTCCGCCATGTATATCAACAAAGGCACCAATTTTTTACAAGTGTGATTTTCCTAAAAAAATATTTTAAGCTGAACTAATTGAAACTACAACCGATAAAAAATCTGTTTGAGATACAATAAATATCTAACAAAACTCACCATAACCGTGGCAAAAAAGCTCCATGCTTTAGGCAGTCGTTCTGCGGCATAGTTCACCCTAATGGGGAGCCAGAGACCACAATCGGAACAAACAAGAAACATGTAGGCGACCTTCATATGAACCTACAATATTCAAATCAATAATCAATATCACTGGAACAGAAGGGATTAATTAACCCTAAAAAAATGGAGATAACTTCCGAGTATCGGAAACTGCCCCAAATGAAGAAAAACAGGCGTCATAACCCTTGTGTTTCACTTGGGTTTGTGGTTTGACCGTCTCTGTGGAATTTCATCCCTCAGGAATCTGTCTGTCAACACTGACACTTTTCAAAATTTGGGCGTTTTAAAAGAAATCTCAATCCATTACTTTAATAAAAAAAAAGCGAATTTACACAGGCTTGAAAAGGAAATACAACAGGAGGAATATGCCTGCCCCACCTTGCGTATTTGCTTTCCTCCATCCTTGACCATTTGACTCAACAGCATCCCTGTCCATCGGGTGCAATCGGTATGTGCCAAAAGGGCTTCCACCGAAGGAAATAGAGCACCGCAAAAATGACAGCCATAGAATATAGCAGTATAATGACCAGCAATCATATGCGACTGAAAAAAAAATTAGCAGGATGGCCTTTGTGAAGATGTGGCGTTACAAAAAAATAACATTAAGGGTAAGACAGCCGATGAAATCAACCAAACCTGAACGTCCGTAAAATGGTCTTCCATATTTGCTTGATAGAGCAGAGCAGCAGGAACTTTCAATTTCGCGGTTCTTCCTAGCAGAATCTACTGGAAGGGGACCGTGAACTGAATGTAGCGAGGATGAAGCCTCTCCCGCATGTTTCTCCATACCAAATGGGAGGTCTCGTAGAGGCATTGCCTCTCGTGTATGGTCCGTACTTCATGTTTTTCTCCATTCTCTTTTTCTGAAACAGAAAAAAAAATATAAAAGGAAGCCCATAAGTTGACAACATTAGTTCATACCGCTTGTTTCCTCGGTCTCCTTGGCAGTTTTTGCAGCCAAAGCAAGTTTACGAGCTGCATCCTCCCAAGCCAGACGAGTTTTCAACGGCAACATATTCCACTGAAAAGCTTGCTTTACTCGCGAATGCGAAATGGACAGCCAGGAGTCCTTTCATCTGTCACGGGTGTCGCATGTGAACTTCCACTAGTTTTACAGTTGGTCATACACATACAGATGCTTAACCAAAAAAAGGGCCGAAAAACGAACAACTGATCAGCACTGAAGAACCATTCAGTGATGGCGAAGAAGTTACACCTTTCTTTAAAGTAATGGTAAAGTGCCTGATTAACGAAAACTCCCACCGAGCTTTTTCCTATGACAGTCCTTTCCTGTGAGCACTTGAGTGGCAGATACTATCCCATTCACTACCTCGCGGAGCAACTCAGCAAGTTTTCACTTACTCAGCCTTCTACCAAATGGGGACAAAAAAAAAGATTTGAAAAGGCATCAAAATTCTTTTGGTTCACACAAGCTCACTTGGTCCGAAAAACCAACGGCAAAAAGCCACGCCAGTACTGGCCTCCATTCCCATGTCGAAAACCAAGAACAAAGGCAGTATAAGACAACCAGGTCTCACCACAGTGCCGTATACTTGAGGCAAGCTGCAATACATCTTCAGGCACCCATATTTCATGTACCTCCGTGGTCACGTGGCTGAAAACAAATTAGACATTTATAGAGAAAAAATCGTCATGGACCTGACAATGAGAGTAAAATCATAAAAAACGTACAATAAAGAAACCATCATATCATCGGTGACACAACTGGTCATTAATCGAAAGCCTGCACCAGCATGCTGCAGCGCTTCAACGCCATCTACACGGACCACATATAGCCTTTGCATAGGATCCGGAACCACTGGCGGGAGTTTAGGTAAGTGTTGCTCGTACAGTGATATTTCCTCCTACAATTGCATTTTATAAACATTTCAAATTCACTGAGATTTTCTCAATTTCATTCTGTAAAGGCTGAAGAACAAAAGATGAAACAGGAGCTGTTATTAATTCGTTTGTATCATTCCTTCCACCTACAAAAATCCCCTCACAAAACATTTTTATTATATATAGAGGATATTGCGATGAGGCCTAATGAACTGTAGTTTCAGCCGACCCAGCGTCATTCTGTAGGCCAAACACGACCCTTAACGAGAGTAGAATGGGTAAAGAGTCCACAGAAAGGTCTGGCTGCTTTATGACTTCAGTTATACGCAGGGGTCATCTCCAATACAAGATGGTTTTTTCTCTGACGCAGTCAGGGGGGGGGGGGGGTGATCAATGATTCTGAGAAATGAGATGAACTGGTTTGGACCAGGCGGGATTCGATCTTCGGATCAAGCCCGGGACGCTACACAAAAATACCCCCTTTATTGAGATTGTAAAATCCCCTGTAGCAAAGTATCATACCGATTCCATATAAAGGGCACGTTACAACCCAAACCCCCCCTCCTACTAAAAAGGAGAATAGTAATAAGGTAGTGGCCATCACAGTAGAGGGTGTGTTTCAAAAAAAATAAAAGTAAAACACAATAAAACCACTACTACCGTTACCTTAACTAAACGTTCATATTCGTTCACGTCGGAGCCAGCCACCATTCTCTTACGATCGAGTGGAACTCCCTCTGACCAATCGGCTATCAAGGAATGATCAGATCGTCTCTTGCCGCCAGCTCCTCGAGGTCGACCACGGCCACGTCCTCTCTAAAAGTATCAAAGTTGTAAGACGAAAAAAGCGAGAGTGTTTCATGACATATGACACTTGGTAAGGAAAAACAAACCCCAGATGTGAAAGATTCTCTTGTCTTTGACATTTCCTCTTTGAAAAGCACTTTTTGATTATACGTCTTCACAGGCTGAAAATGCAAGAAAATGACCTTTTCTTATTAACAACGATACTGGAACTGTACTGAAGAGTGAGATCACCTTTCGCTGTCTACGGCTGACCCTGCGATGAGGTTCGAATTCCGGATCATCCGGATCGTCTTGTTGTTCCTCCTCTTCTTCCTCTTCGTCCTCCAAATCATCATCAGGACTGTAATCTCCTGTGCTCTCCGAGCTGGAGTGCCTTGCTCTGCTTTTTCTTTTTCGAGCACCAGATGTGGTTGAATTACTCGGAGTTGACTGGGAAACTCATATTTTTCAAACTTATAACAGCTTGTTTGCATGTAAAATCTCACTTTTTGCTCATCTTTATTCTTTTTAGGGCGTCCTCGTCGACGTTTTTGAGGTGCACCACTGTCACTGTTGCTTTCTCCATTTTGATTCTCATGAGCACGAGACATTTCACTGAGCTGCTCACGAACACGTTCCTGATGAAAAAAAGTGAAGGTATAAACATTATGCGTCTAATTGTAATTCTAATACTACCATAGAAGATTATTATTTTATTAGATTTTTTCAATAAAATTTTTTTCTCTACTCAGCGACGTTCACCGACTCTTCCACTGGACTTGACGTTACAGCTTGAAAATGCTTGATGTTACGGTTGGAAGGTCTTGGGGAGAAGGCCGAATACTAAATCTCGGTGGTCTGTAGCTTTCGAAATTGGTTTTACATACCTGAATAGTCATAGGGTGTGGGCCACTAGCAGATAGATTTTTTCGCTTTTTGGTGCGAGAAACTTTTCCGCTGCGGGGTTCCAGGTTATTATTAAAAACTTGGTGTTTGTTTTTGTTTCTGTTATTACTGACGCGTGAACCTGCATTCTACGATATACCTGGGTAGAGGAGAGAATATGCAAGTGTCAATTAATTAGTTTAGCTTATTCCTTTGAGACAGCACCGAAAATTGAAGAGCCACGGAAGGAAAGACGGAGAACCCGCGAAAATTATTAGAAGGGCAACAGCCGAGAACGAGAGAACAGAGACGGATTTTCCGCAACCTCTACAACGCCGAGCAACGACAGCAAGAGAATGGACACGTGTCTATACCCCTTCGCCAATTCTCCTATTCTCCGGATCGCCCAATCAGTAGGTATTTATTAGCTTCCATCACTGGTCAACTGACTCCAGGAAGTCGTAAATGTGAACAGTACCCCGACCAGTGAGTCCGTATCTAATCCATTTCGACTACCCTTTATTTCTTCAATGGGGCACAAGCCATCAACACAGCTTCCACTTGATCATTTTGTTCCAGAAAATCAGTCGCATAAACCCGTCCAGATCGTGTATGAATCGGCACGGAAATCAGGTAAACGCACGCGCGATCCTCCAGATTTGCTGCCAACCACGTCTCGCTGTATCAAGAAAAAAAAGGAACCTGCACAAAACGTGTACTATCGCACTTATGCTATTCTATGCAGTACACCCACAATCGACACCTTTTTTTCATCAAGTTCGCTATTGCGTACGATGCAGATCCAATACTACAACTTGTGCTATCCCTTTCTGTGGATTTTTGGATCTATTAGGAAAAAAAGACGGCACAACTTGGGAAGAAAGGACTGTCCATCTCTCAATTTTTTTCCCAAACAGCAACACTGACCCTTTGGAATTGCTACAGCACACCCACCACAAAGCCGCAGCCAAATCCAACTGTGGTGCTACAGTGCACCAACTTGCAAGCACGACTGCTAGCTTACAAATGATCGAGCTCATGTTTGCACTTATTGCTATCAGTCGGTATCAGTCGAACGTATCGATAACCGCTGCACAACCGCACCGCTCCTCAGAGCAAGGCTCAAAAGCGAGAAATCAAAGGGAATAGCCTTTGAAAGTCATTGTGAGAAACGCTATCGCTGCGAGCGGTAAGCCAGCGTAAGATGATTCATTTTCTCGGTGCATTCTCTGATGACCGGTCTAATGATCTGTTCAGAAATCGCATCTCTTCCAAAAAGACCCCACCACTTTGTGGAGTAACGCGAGTATAGTAGATGAACAACTCATCTACTATACTCGCGTTACTCACTAAGGTCGGGTCATACCTTGCAAGGATTTGCAGTCCGATTGTGGAGTAGATGTAACGATCGTGCGATCCCATGATCGATCCGTATTTACTCTACACTCGAACTGCAAAATACAGCCCATATCTCACGGTCTGTTATACTTGTCTATGGATTTGACGT